TGGGCAATGGCGCATAAGGTCCTCTGACAGCTGAAAGATAAAAAAATTACAAATGAAAAATACTGCACATAAGGTGACTATGATGCAAAGCAGGTTACAATCTATCATGCCTAAATTTAGTGATTAACTTGAGGTAACCATGCTATAACTGAACAACATTTAGTAAATTAAGGATTGATAATTAAATTTAGTAACTTAGATTGCAAGAGTTATTGGTGCAAAAAATTATAATTAATAAACACACGAAGCAAACAACATTGGAAATAGATTTGACGCAAGAATGCAAGTGAAGTTATATAGGTAAAACAAGGACCGCATCACCATTATGTCTATGAACACTTGCAACGAAGTTAACTAGATTATGGTAGGGTTGTGCTCAATTAATGCAGATAAATAATGCAACGGTTAAAAAGATGTAAAAAATGCAGTATTACGGAAGACATACATATATATATACATTATCAGGAAGAGCTTCACTCACCCAACAGTATTGCAGAATTAACTTGATGCATTCAACTGTCTTGGCAGCATTTTAGTTACTGAATTAAACTTGGCTTGAATGGAATTTAATTATTACCTCTGTTCTGAAACGATATGAAACGAAAGAATGCATTGAGTATGAAAATTGGTTAATGACACAGATGGGTTGAGTGGAGAAAAAGCAATAATGCCTTCCGGCAACAGCCTGATGGTGCCTTGTGCTTCTTTCTTCAATTCTTTGAAGCGCATGAAGTCATCTTCCCTGTTGGTTGCCTTTGCCTTCCTCCAAGCCCTGTATTTGCAACGAGAAATACATTTCAGCTCCGTGGTGATCCAGAGTTGATGGTTCTTGGTGAAGGATAACATGGTCGGGACATGTTTTTCTACCATGGTTGTCAGGTGGCCTTGGATCGCTTGCCACATCTCATCCACTGTGAGATCTGGGCAGATGGACTCGCTAAAGGTTGCAGTCTCAGTTCTGATGGCATCAAAATTCACTTTCTTCCAGATGCTCATGGGCCTGGCTATTGGTTTGGCTCTGGTTGCCTTGATCTTACTGTCAACAAGGATGATGTCATGATTGCTCAGTGGGGGTAGTGTGGTACACTTTGTAATTAGGCCAGGTCTGTTTTCTCGATGAAGAGATCGAGAATGTTGTTCTCTCTGGTAGGCTTGGTGTTGGCTTGGTGCAGGCCTCGGTCACAGAGCTTGTCAATGAAAGCTTGGTTTACTGCTATCGGGTTCTGGTGTCCTGTGATTTTCATGTCATTCCAGTCGATGTCTGGGAGGTTAAAGTCACCACTGGTAATTATGGTAATTAATTATGAATTATGGTAATGAATACATGGTATCTCAAGTAATCAACTTTGTCACCTGAGAAAGTGTCTAATTTTAATTGAGGTACCAGTAACTTAATTTCACGACTAACAGGACGGACATTTTTGACACTGACTTTACGCTCAACAGAGAATTCTTTCAATTTAAGCTCGACATTAGTGCTATACTCAACTTGCTTGTCAATCTCGGCATTAAGGGACTCATCAGATATCTTACCTTCCACAATCTGGTCAGTTATACGTTCATAACAACTGGCGCACAATATCCAAATCGCGTTGCACCATGGAGCAATGCAGCTGGCACTCGGCAAAGTCTCCTCGCTGAAAAGCATCCTCAGCATCTTTAAGCCAATAGTAACTTTGCATTTGAATATGCCACGCTTTTTAAACAAAGATACATCCATGGTTAAGGAAAAAATGGGCTACAAAAAATATAATAAGCCAGATGGCCGCAGACCTCAAACCTGGCAAACAATGGAAGAAGTAAGGAATTAGTTCTTAGTTGCCAGAGGACCTGCAATTTCGAAATAATGATCATTGATCAATTAACTATCCATGAAACCTCAGTATTAACTTGTGTGACGTTTTCACACAATCGACAGGTAAGTACAAGATAAGCAGTGAAACCAACATTCTAAAGTTTTATTAGAAAGCAAACATTTTATTTTCATAAGCAATACGCCGTACTATTCGAACATTTTAAATGCTAATTTGGGTCAGAAGAGCTTATTCATCTAGAGTTAATCAAATCCTTGAAGGTTTAACAACGTTTAAAATCCTGGTCAGGCTAATACGGGTTCGGAATGAGGTCATTGTGACGTAGTAGGGAAATAGCAAGCCGGCCAGGGTCTGGTGCTGGATGGATACTGTAGGAAAAATAGATACAGATTCAATCACTGAGAAAACTAGCTAGGGTGGAACTATTAATCGCTGACAAATTGTTATAATATAATTTTCACAATAAATACTTGCCCACCTGAGGTTTTATTGCCCAGTGTGAGAAAACACTGCTTGAAGGAAGAATGAATTCATGAAAATAGAGGAAATCAGTTGGAGTAGGGGGAAATTGTACGAGAAATATAGGAAGAATAGTAAGAGATTTTATGCTTTAGAAGTTAGGAGCAGAGTTAAACTAGTAATTTAATTGAAGTGAACTTTGTGTGTGCAGTTTCGGGTTACTGCACCATTCATACACGAGACAAGTAGATGGAAAATTTTGAATTGATCAATATTTTAATTTGATAAATCGAATTTTATGCATTTATTTAGATATTTTGACACCTTAAACTATGTCCAATTCCCCACAGGAGGTAAACTAATTTCATAGAGTAAAAAATAAACAAAATGAAAGTCAAATGCAATTCACTCAAACAAAAGAACAGGGAAACAGGTATGTAGCAAGGTAATAGGTATACTTGTACATAGAAGTAGAACTTGCCATTGAAATTTAAACTTTAGTAGTACTGTCAACTGGGGTGACTTCGGCCAAATTACACTAGTTTCTGCCGATCAAATTCTACAAAATAGGAATGAGGCATTGCTAGGGATTGTAAATTTGTAAATATATTACTGAAAGGTTCTTCTTTGAATATGTCATGTCTAAATTATGTCACTTTTATTGCTTAATAATTTTTTTTTTAAATTAGCTGGGTGGCCGATGTCACCCCGCGATGGGGTGACTTCGGCCACATGTGTTGAAAGGCAGTAAAAACATAGTAAAATGATTTTGAGGCCTTTCAATTCAACCATTAGCGGGGTGACATTGGCCACGTAGGGTGTTTTAAAAAATGATAATCAATGCCACTGTGTACCTATTATAAAAATAGTAACACAAATATAAAAGCCACATTTGTGAATAATATGCTTCATTAAAGCTGCTTTCTGTCGATTTCAATGGCAGCTGGATGTGAAAGTTTGAAAAAATCTAGTCCCTATAGGATCTCGAGCATTCGTCAAAAAACCAATGATGCTTGATAGAGGTGTGACCCTTGAACTTGCGTAACGTGCGACCCTGTTTGTCAAGGTAATTTTTAACCAAAAAACGCAGATCCATACCATCTAATGCGAAACCCCAGTCTGAAAGCAGAATAATGTAGGATACTAAATCTGACTCCTCTGTAGGTGAAAGAGTATATAGACTGTCCTAAATTTTTAGCATGACAGCCAACACATCGGTTGCTCAAAGTTGAACGAGGGACTTTGCAAATATTAGCAGCTTCTCTTAAGCTAACACCATCTTTTATCAATTGAAATGCTTTCTTAAATGACTCCTCAGAATATACCTATCCTATATGGCACAGAATCTAATTTACATATATAGCCGCGCATATTGTCTGAAAAAACGAAGAAAAATCCGTTATTCTAAACATTTATTGGCTGGCTGAAGTCACCCCATTTAGCCCATATACTATTGGGTGACTTTGGCCAGCTAATTCTTCAAGCATATATATTACCTGTGGTAAAAAACATATAGCCATTGATATAATCATTATACAAGATGCCAAAATAAGTGAAACACATCTGATTCTAAATTTCTTTTCGTATCTCTAAATATTGAAGTTTGCACTCAGTTTTTTTTTTCTTTACAGTACTGTGGCATCCAGATTGTGTTGGTAAAGCAGGATATAAAATTATTGAAACAAAACCGTTTCCAATCAATAGATAAGAAAAAAACTACATTGGAAACCATTTTGTTCCAATCGCATAACACAACTACAACAGAAACAGATGGCCGCAAAACAAAATCATAAACATTGGCCGAAGTCACCCCAGTTGACGGTATATTCAGGGTTTGATAAATTGCCGCGAATATATCAAGGAACAGCCATTCGAAATAAAAAGCCCTGCTCTTCATTGAGAGCTGCAATATATATAAACTACCTTGGATAAATTCTACGTGTAATAATGAATTCAGAAAAACGGATTTAATTCAATAACGAAAAGTCGAAAACTCAAAATATATACAAAAGATGGTGAGGAATAATAATTTCTCACAACTCTTATTACATACTCATAGATATCTCACAGAGTCATAAATTGTTAATCGGCAAATATGATCTAAAATTTTTTTTAGAACACAATGTGACAACACTTGTATATTTATATTACAGCTAACAAGCTGTCAAAAGAAACTTCTGGTAATCAAGGTTTGGTTATAAATTGATATTCCTTTGTTTCAAAACATTAGTTAACCAAACTAAGCATCCAGTTAAACATAGAGATTGTCATGAAATACCTAGCTGCCAACAAGCTAAAATCTGACAATTAAAATTAGTAAATTACAGGTTGCATAGTTGCTCCTCTAGCTGAGCTACAAGGCTGTACTCAACCAGAGGAGCACTACTAATACAGCTAAGGCTGGAGCTGGCTTGCTATTACTGTTGGCTATACTAGACTTTTATTGTAATCAGGAAGGTTGGATTGTTATTAAGATTTATTAGGTAAGGCACCTTGTCTGGAAACAGTTTGCATTACTTACAACTATTGCTGACATTACTGTTGAACCGACCTTTGTAGCTGTTGATGAGACTGCAGTGACAAGAAAAAAGCTGAACCAGCCTCTGTCTAGTTGATTTTTGCATTTTCAATTATTGAAATGGAGATGAGCTATTGATCTCTTCCTGTACAAATTGATAACAGCTGAGGCATTGTTGCATTTGAGAGTTGCTGACTGTTTTAGTGTTGATATTGATTGGTACTATTGGTTGAACAATGTTGATGTACTTGTTGAGCAGTGTATCTTTTGTGTTGTGGGGCTGGTAATTTGATACTGGGCTGGTAATTGATTTGATTTCATCAAAAACTTTTCTATCTCTGCTGAGCAGTATTTCAGTTATATGTGTGCAAAACTGTAACTGTGCAAAACTTTATCAGATATGAATATGGGGAGCTCAATTCAGATAAACAAAACTGGATTGTTTTTCCTTATATTTGTGGTAGGGCTAATAATATTTTTCTACCACACTTCATCCTCTACATCTAGTGCAAGAGATGAAAAGATATCCTTTGAGCCTCCAGACGGGAAAGTTGTCAGCTTGAAGGAGCTTCTCAGTGCTGCCATTGATGCTGCTGTCAGGGGAGGGAATGAGGTGAGTGTGTTGTGCTTAGCCTACATTTCAGTTGAACTCATGTGGAACTTTTCATTAAGCTGTTTTTCTGATCTAAATATGCCCTGTTACTGCTGCTTTTTGTATGGAAAAATGTCATTTAGTGTGATTTTGTAACTTGTTTAACATCAATGGAATAAATTTCAAATAATATTAATAGGGACTTATTGCATACATAATAGTCTGACATGAGTCTAACTGGCTCATTGAAATATGCTGTGAACTATCCTTCTGAATATTTTTGATAGATGATTATTTGAGAATTATGTTTGTTATCTACATAATTTTATTATTTCAACTGTTATTTATGAATAATTTTTTTCACAAAGATTGTTATTTGCTGCAAAATTTTCATGAAGAAGGGAATTCAAAACAAATTAGTTTGTTTAATAGCTTCTGTAGATCATTTGAAGCATCTGTATTAAAATATTTTTCTTCATTTGATGTCATCTTTTGATTATTCTAATTCCCAGTCTAATTCTTTTCAGTTTCGGTTTTGTTTTTGAAATATTGAAGTTATACTAATATGAGGCAGTAATTTTCCATGTATCATGTTTTTTCATATGATTTTGTCATGAAAAACTCGTCAAGTTATATTAGTTCCTTTACTAACAACATGGTTTAAATGTGCAGGTGCGGCAAGTTAGAGATGCAGCCTCACTTCATGAGCTCAGTAAAGGTGAAACAAAAGAAGGAGCAAACGATCCTGTTACTGATGGAGATTACAAGTCCCACATAGTCATGTACTACTCACTGAAAAAGTCTTTCCCTAGTATCAAGGTATTCAATATGCTAAGATACAATTGAAGTTGATGTAACAATTTATGAGGATTGAATCTCATGTTGCTGGAGTAACAGCCTGCAACTTTGCAAGCAGCATTACAACCTGGCCAAATAGCTTGATTTTTTGAAAATTTCAAAATTAGAACATGCTATGAGAAATAAATAGGTTATTGGTAAAGTGATGAGTGCTAAATGGTGATCATACCTACTAAAATGTAAATGTTCAAAATGGTACCTTTTTGTCTCCATGTACTTGTAATCTATTCGTAATGCCCTAAGTTTGCATTATTTTTAACCCCAGATTGTGTCTGAAGAACATGATTCCAAGATTGATCCAGCTACTATTGAACCAGCTGAAAGAAAACTACGTGAAATTGATGATAATATTTCCTCTGACGAAATTGTTTATTCTAAAGACATCACAGTATGGATTGATCCTCTAGATGCAACACAGGAATACACAGGTAATTTGTAGCCTGAGTGGCATCTGTACAACTGTGTCTCTACAAGGCTCATTTCTCTTTCTTTTATGACAAATATAAATAAATACATATAAAAGTATATACAAGTACTGTATACAAATGCAAATATAAATACTTATAAGAGAATTACGCCCTTGCAAAATTTGCCCTCCTTATCAGTAATATGAAATTAATCACATTGTAATGGTTTTCAGAGGATCTGCGCCAGTATGTAACCACCATGGTTGGGGTAGCAGTGAAGGGCGTCCCTGTGCTTGGTGTTGTCCATAGCCCTTTCATCCCCATCACCTACTGGGGCTGGGTTGGTCATGGGCTTTCGGCTAATCTCAAGACGATTAAAAAAGTACGCTTTTAGTAATAATGGTTGAGGTTTTTGTGTGCTTTATGTTATGAAAATATACCCATGCATCCAATTTAGCAATTATCAAGAATAATTATTTTGTTCTTGATATTTCAATTATTTTGTTCTTCAAATTTCAGTGTGGTAACTTTTAGTGATGTTCAGTTTACATTTACATTTAACCCCGAGTATTTGTCCTTACTCACCAACCTTTTTTAGTGTGATCTGAATCTTCATAATGAAATAGAATTTGCTTGCTTGTCCTTACATTCCTCAGCTACTCGAATTTTATTAAATTAAAACGAGTTGCCTCGGCAACTCCTTTCATATTATTAAATTCACCATCTTCAATAACGCAATACTGGCTACACATTTCACTAATTGAAATCGTGACTGCATTTGCAGTGGGTGGTATAGATTGGTGAAGAATACAATTGTAGTTATAATTTATGTCCTGGAGTCTTTTAATAAACATATATATTCTGTGCAGGGGTCAGCTGCTGAATTAGTCCCGTCTTCGTCACCGCGCATCATCGTGAGCAGATCTCACAAAGGAACGGTAGCGGAGGTGGCCTTACAGGCCTTTGGTGATAAAACGCAAGTCATACATGCAGGAGGCGCTGGTCTGTTACTGAGAATTTAGCATTCAGCCTAGCTAAAATGTTATTACTTGTTTTTTTCACATTTTAATAGCCAATTCAGAGTCAAATTCATCTTTCCCTGTAACTGTCGGGCTAACCCATCACCATCGCGTGTTAGAAGGATGAATAACTTCAAATTTGTAAGCCTCAAATGTCATGAGGCCTGAGGTAAAGGGTTTGTTGTTTGAAGCGAATACCTGAACTTTTTCTGTCTCACATCCGCATCATTGAAAAAAAAAAAAACATCACATTAGATACTACTAACATAAATGATAATAATTTTCTTCATGTTGACAAGTAGCAAGTTTGTTGCAGGATACAAAATACTGGAGGTGATTCAGGGCAGAGCGGATGCGTATGTGCACACGACGGCCATCAAGAAGTGGGATCTGTGCGCGGGCCACGCCATCCTCAGTGCCATGGGAGGCACACTCACCACCCTCAGCCCCGTCAGCAACATAATCTCGTACGGCGACAGCACTCAATTCCTCAACAGCAATGGTTTGCTCGCCACCATCAGGGATCATGAATATTACCTGAAAAAACTTCAAGCTTTGAGGAAGCCTTGATTATCAATTGAAGGCTTAGGCTGAAAGTGTTGCTGCCTTGCTGAGTTTAATTTTGAAAGCTTTTGTCGCTTACAGCTGCAGCTTTTTGATTATTTCGCGAGTAATATATTATTACAATTTCGTTGTTTTATCGGCCGTGATTCATCTAATTACTGCAGTTGTTAATTCTAACAGCAAATTTTCTGTTGCGTTATCTTCAAACGAGTGCCATATGTTTTTAGCAACTTCAACTTGAAAGAATTTTTTCAGATATAGTACATCCTAAAGCTCTGAACTTCACGAAGAAAGTGGGTAAACTTGGCATTATGGTGTATTTATCGTCTTTTTGCGAACATATTTTTTTTAATAACATGAACTTTAGCTGCAATATGATTGGGAGATTGAAATTTTTATGCCCACCTGTGACAAAGCTCGATTCAAATGTAGTATTAATCAGCTTACTTTTTGCTGATCTCCAAGCAGGCTTCATGCCGCATGTCTACGTTCTGTCAGCCACTGTGTGTTGCAGTTGCCTGTTGATCACCAAGTCTTTCTATGTAGTATTAAAGCCATGCGGTGTGTTGTGAGATGTAGGTATCCAGGACGAGTGATGATTAATACAGGACTCTCGACATTGTGGAGCGAGAAGGCATTATTTTCCTAGCTATACACACTTGTTCTGGATTCTAATATCTGTAATATTGAGAAGATTGTTCTCGAGTATCAGTTACTGGAGAATTAGAGACGCTAACACGTAGCTCAGTATGATATTGTTGCCACGCTAGACGACATTATTATCCCTTGATGAAGAAAGAATATTGCTGGCTTGCCAATTTTCTGGGAAGTGAACTGAATCAATATTTAGTCTCAGTATGCGGACGGAGCTAAAGTTTGAGAATATTACTTAGCACATCGTTCAATTAAATTTTTCGAATTGACTTATGAAGTGTCATAGGATAACTAGTTCACTGCCTGGGTCCTCAGGCAGACCGCTAGGCGTTTTATAACAAACCCTAAATTATGGTCAAGTAAATGTGAAACAATAAATCGATATTAGGACTCCTCATGGTCCTTGCTTTGCTTCTAAATATCTTAAACTAGAACCCAGTAAATTTCAGTTCAATATCATTTGTGTGGTGCAATATATGTTAATGTTATGTTTACTTGAGGCTACGGCAGCCCGTATTTTAGTTTGACTAGTCAAGTTAAATGCTTATTTTGGGAAATTGGGAGCTGTATTCATGAATGTAGGCAATTGTTCTCGACTTGCTTTAATGCTCGTTTATAAAAGTAACGAAATTATGCTACACTTTTTTTTTTAAAGTTTTCGATTTATATCAATTTGTACTTGGTAAAAGACGCTATATACATTTCATGGTTATGATATTTCAACCAAGTTGTGTAAACAACCAGTTATAATTTGTAATAGACTTAAAGTCAAGAATCTCCGCAGCTGGTTTAGCTTTAAAACAAATACATAATTTTATTTGCTTCTCTTTTATTCATATTCAATTTGGCATGCGTTTACCGTGAAATCTGCTAGCATGAAGTTATTAAAACAAAATGACACGTGCCCATTCTTGTAAAATATCGTCATTATTAAAAAATGAATAGTTGACAACTATTCCAGTTATTTCTAAGTTGTGGAAACTTGTGATGGCTCGCCAATTGTTTCCTTTATGCAAATCTACTCAGCTAAATGGTTCTATTACAACTATTAAAAAGACGTTTTTCGCTAATTAAAATTGGCCTAAATTTGATCAGCGCGTTTGCTTATTTCTTCACGAGAAATTTGTCGCTCTCGCACTCGGTCATGTTGGCTATGATATTTTGATATTCCTCGAGGCAGTGTTGCTCTGGATCCAGTCTCCCTGCGCTCACTAAACTCTTGTGGATGAAAACCGGGTCAAGGCACGGCACCTGAAAGCAACCATAACGTATGAGGTACAAGTAGGTCCTGTGATTTCAATATCTTCCGGACCTGTCGGAAATTTCAACGCGACTAACGGATCTTGTACAATCAAGTAGAGAATTGATCAGAAGTAATGCTATTTTATACACGTCATATTGGCTGTATAGAACGATGGGCAAGAACTGAAAGCACATTGAATCTTTCAAGGATTCGATTTCAAAAATTATATAAGAAATAGGCACATAATCTCACTTTGTTCTTGGCGAAGAGTGCTAAGTCAAACTTGGGGCTGTGCCTGAGCTCGACGAAGCAGTGTGTCAAGTCCGGAGGGAAGTTACTGTCTGAGATCCTGAAATGAATGAAAAATGCAATATATTGTTAAAATAACTGTCATCACCGCAATATCACCGTCAGGTTTGTATGCAAGAATAAGACAGTTAAGGAACACCGAACAGCGCAAATGTCGCGGCGTTTCGCACCTGAGAATAAGCGAAAATGATGAATGAATGAAAAATGACCTGAGAATAAGCTGTAAACATAAATCGGGAACCGCACAGTGAGAATGGATAAAAGTTATGTGAAAGATGGAGTTTCATCAGTAATTTAAATGAATATGTGATAGCAAGTGTCACGATTATTTTGAAATAATCCCAATGTTTCCTTAGAAACTTGTTCATTTACTCTACTCCTTGCTTGTCATGAATTCAAAGGAAGAGACTTTTAATGTAACATTAGCTCATTTATCGGAAAATTTTAATTTTCAAATTTAAATTCTCATTAAGAATTGCTGGTATTATTACTGGGAGATATATAGCAAAGATATCTCTACTATGCCATTTTCAAGTAGTGTTTGAAAATTCCGACTGACTTTATTTGGTTTTGACAACACCAGTTTTCTCCTTGAAACGATTGCACTTGGGCTGTAACGGCTTTCAATGAATAGGATTAGATCTACTCCGGTCTTGAAGCGCCTTCTTATAAAATGTAAATGTTACAAGGTTGTGATTTCCGTGACACATTCCAGACAATTTTATCTGAGTAAGGCCAGCTTGACAATAGTCAAGTCTCAACGCAAGACTGAGGTTTGAATAGGGCTGCGATAACTTGATGGCTTATGTCTTGGATTTGTGTTAATATCGTCCATCAGGAATAAAGCTGCACTATTTCCTAATCAGTTGGGCTCTTTTTGCGAGATGCTAGGGAATTTTTTTATCCGTCTTAAACCAAGTATTACTATACAATAATGCCACAAGAATATGAAATGGCACATAATAAACCTAGACATTAATTAACAACTCAGAAGAAACCAACGACTCACAATGACAGATCACCATTGTCATCAAATGACAGCAATAGCAAAATTGAGCCTGAGCCTACTTGGCACAACGACCTAAAATTTACCCTGGTGACTATCACCAATTCACAGACATTTGACATGCCCATCAAACCTTGCAATTGTTTTTAAAATAGCTAATATGATAAAAGATTCTGCTAACGTTTTTTTCTGATTTTAAGTAAAAGGGAGAATAGACCATTGGCGAAGACCATGGAATGAAATCGATACTATTAATAAAAAAATTATAACAAAGATACAAGGACTACTACACACAGGACATGCATAGCCTATGTCCAGCCTCTGCTAGCAGAGGCGATCGCCTACACTATGAAAATGCTGTTGTTTTAGTGGCATCAACAAATGATATGCCCATAATTGTTTCATACAATAGTATTACAATGTGTGTAGTAGTCCTTGGTCAGAACCATAGACTTTTTGCCAGTTTTGAAGTTCAAAATTTTGTACTAAGCAAAGTNGGCAAAAAGTCTATGGTTCTGACCAAGGACTACTACACACATTGTAATACTATTGTATGAAACAATTATGGGCATATCATTTGTTGATGCCACTAAAACACCAGCATTTTCATAGTGTAGGCGATCGCCTCTGCTAGCAGAGGCTGGACATAGGCTATGCATGTCCTGTGTGTAGTAGTCCTTGCAAAGATACTGAACGCGATATCATTATTTTTTCTGGCTGAATTGAAATTGTCTTTAGTTTTCTTTCGGTTAGCGTTGCTCACAAAATATGTTTATTTGATGGTTTAGAATTATTTCTTATTAGCTCAGGACTCACCGTCTCTGAGCGGTGAGGCGGAGCAGAGAAATTCTCTTAGCTTTGTTAAGACACGCGCCCGACGCCACGTCGTGGTCAAGAAAATCCCTAGTAAAAAAAAGGCAATGAGCTGGCTACTATTTATGCCTATAAGGCACTGATATCGATGAAGAGTGTTGAGAACTCGATGTATGTTGCTTGTTTTAGCACTTGGAATTATGGAAAATAGTGTATAAAAACAAAACTCTGAAAAAAGGTTACATTCCGTGATTTGTCCCTAATCCCTTCACAATTACATAAATTTACACCCAATTTGCCCATTGTTTGCGATATTTGCCAAAACCACCAACGAATGGACATTACCACTTCATCCAATCAGCTTACGGTGCTCATGATCAAATTAACAACATGCCACGGCTCGTGTTTAGATGCGACCCAATTCCAGGCATGAACCAATCGCAAAAGAAGATACTCGCGCACCCAATCACAGACGTGGACACGCGCAGCAAAGCACAGACGTGGACACGCACAGCAAATCACAGACGTGGACACGCGCAGCAAATCACAGACGTGGACACGCGCAGCAAATCACAGACGTGGACACACGCCGCAAATCACAGACGTGGACACGCGCAGCAAATCACAGACGTGGACACACGCCGCAAATCACAGACGAGGACACAAGTTTAGCCGATCACAAGCGTCGAACACACATAGCCTATCATAAACATTTACGTGTCAAGTTATAGACTCACGACTCAGAGAAAACTTGAGCGTCGCCGATTTTGAGGAGACTTGTGAAGGCGAGCGCCCGCTCAGGCCGCGTCGAGATGAGCGCCCGCCAGCCGCTGAATGCCCCCCTCACCTCGCCTGCCATGACGGTCTTACGCCACCTATAGAGCAGCCAGGGGGTTAATGTACAATAATATGTCTTAAAATGCTGATAATAGGCAATACAATTATGCTATTATAACGTATTAACAATATACGATAGGATATAATAAAATTTTCACATAATGCAATCTTATGTAATGAAAAATCGATATTATACTTTATCACATTATTATGTGACTAAATACTACAGTCTACAGTATAGTACAATGCGACAATATGATCGTGATCAACACCTTACAACACACATATAAGCTGCTGCATAAAAATTCATGAAGACAAATTTGGAATTAACATGATGACGGAAAATTTCGCAGTGCTTTGAGCAAAAATAAATAATAACACAGAAGTAAAATGATACTAGAATATTAAGATAAACATGCAAACGCATTTTAATCGTGGGAAAATAATCAATACTAAATTTTTAATATATAATTTACCAGTGCGCAGCCCATGCAATATCTTGCTCCTTCTCGCCTTCCTTGAGCTTGGGCAGTATGGCGGCTGCCAAAGGGTTGCCCCACTCAAAGGCCTCCTCCTGCAACCAGTGTGTAATTATAGCTATTGTTATGACTAAACAATTAGTATGCAATTATAGCTACTGCCATAATTAAGCGATAAATAAGCAAGTATGGCTAACCATATTATGAACTGATGACATAATTTGTTGGCCTATTGCCAAGCAGCAAAAGTTGATACTATTGTTAGAGATTCGAAACATTTCATTCTTTCCTAGGGGCGCTGAGTTGACAAAAATGTCCCAACATTTTACATTAGTTGCGCTTGTTTCTTCACAGAAATTGTTAATTTAATTTTAAACGGCCATCAAGTAATCATTTTAGTCAAATTTTCTCACCAATTATTTCTTGTTAATTTCTTCATAGTTCTATTGATACCTTAACTACATTTTATCCACAATTATCTCTTTTACTTTTAATATTTACACACCTGAACGAAGGCTCCCTTATCAAGACACTCGTAGATGTAGGCAGGATGAAGCACCCATTTACCGGCCGCTATGGCTGACAACATGCGCTGTGATCTGTTAGTCCGGCACGCAATCATGTGCGTCACGTCACTAACGTCGCTATGAACTTCACCTCCTAAACCTTCAATGATCTCCTTCATGGCATCTGCTTGGTCATCCAAGCCAGAAAAAGCAAACTTGTAGCGTGACGTGCTAGGTTTAACATCGCTCTGTTCCGCCACAGCTTCTTCATCATATGGCTGTATGGAGAGTTATCAGTCAGTGGTTATACATTACATTGTTATGTAGCTAAAACAATATCAATTAAAACTGTTAGGAAATTTGTATTAGCTTACATCTAAGCTTGAAAATTAAATAACTGAACAATAAAATTGAATGTCTACTGATGATTAACTAGTAGGTACCATGCATACGCTCATAATGAATGAATGTTACCCTATCTATTAAATAGATAAGTAAACATCTTTAATATGCTGGAAATTAATACCTCATCGAAAAGAATCCTTATTACATGCATTCAATAAGAAGTCCAAGTCTTCAAGCATGTTGATTTTGTTTGTCAATGATGGATTTTACAATATATACATATTTAGGTTATGCATCTTCTAAGGCTGCGAATGATTCTATTTCAGTGATGGAAGATTCGAAATTTGTACATTTTTTTCAGTGAAGACTAAAAAGCCTAAGGTCATTTTTTACAGAGCCCTTTTACTGTTTTTGTCACACCTTATTTTTCAAGTCAAGTTCACGATTTTTTTAACCGCGTGTCAGCTCATCAGGTCAAGAGAAGAGACATAGATCATAAAGAGACATATATATTGGTTGTAATTATAAGAGATACCACATACCAGAGTGCGGTCATTATCCGAGACGCGGTCACCAGATTCCGCGACGGCGGCCGAGGACAGCCGGCGTCTGGCCGCTGAGTCAGCAGGATCAACCCAAGCGATGTTGGTGCACTGAGATCCGGTCACAAAATCCATCGTCCCAACTAGAAGAAATAAATTATATTATTTCCATTAAATGCTCTAGGATACATTAATAATGATATTAATATATTCCCTAAATGTCATTATCGGAAGAATATAATTAATGGGTTACACACGTATGCTGGCTCCATCAGAAATTTGCAAAATGAATAAATAATTACAATTACTGAATTAATGCCTTACATAAACAATATACTTCATTAACTGATCCTACTGTTCAATAAACTCCAGTTTTATGGCTGTTTACCATATCAAAGGCCGTTTTTCTATCATAATTAATACGTCCGGATTACCGTCCCATTTCATGCTCTTGTATTAACATCGATAACACCACTGTATTACCACGACTCGTATATTGCTTGTGTACACACCGGCGTTGGTTAACGGCACAGGTTCAGGTTCGTTCTCATTTCTACTATTTCTCATGCGAGTCAAGCTGCGTTTGCGAGAAAGAGAAGTGGTCCTGGGGCGTTCGTTCTCGTGGCCGTCGTAGCTTTGTGTTTGAGTGTCACGATCCGCAGCAAGTATTTCCAGCTCTGCCAGGTCGCGAGCGATGTCTTCAGGTACGATGTCCTCGGCCTCGGCAGTCTCGATGTTCCCCATTACCGAGCATGGAGAAGCGTTATCGTATCTGGTCTCCGTAGCTACTAGACCTTTGTCACGGTTCTCGTCGAGGGCTTCTTCAGCATGCAAAGAACTCCTCTTTGGCTGGGTATAGTTAAAAAATAAGAAAATGTGTATACTTTTTATATTAGATACATCATAAAATTTCACTTCAAAATAAAACCGAGACAACAATCATAGTGCTCCGAATAATATCGGGTAGTTTGTTAAGCATAATGACACGTGATCACGAATTCATCCATGACTCTCTAATGTATGAAATTTATTGTTTATAAATCATGAATATTCCAATAAAAAACCTTATGTCATGGCCGCGTGAGTTTATATTCATGCTTGAATGACAATCAGAAATCCAGTCAGATGACAACAGTCTAGTAACACATCAGAGCAAATATAAAAAAAATCCATAACGAAGATTTCCATGAGCCAATTTAGCACCCTACTCAAGCGAGCATACCAACATTACCTCTCCAGTATTTCCTATAAGTTCGTTGTCTCGCGCTCGTGCGAGTTCATCCTCAGTCATGGAGGCTTTGATCAAGGACAACATGGTCTTGCCAAACTCCTCTCTAGCCTGGCGAGCTTTCTCGCTCGGAGGGACGGGTAGTTGGTTTAAGGTTCGTTTTATGATCTTACGAGTCCGCCTACTCGGGTTTGACTCCCAGCAGATGCCGTACGGAGTGTCTGGAGTTTTCATGGCCTCTAAAGAATCGTTATTGTTTCTTGTACGTCCAGGTATTGGATACACTGGAGAGAAAAATTCAATATATTAGAATACAATTTGTAGAGTTGGGGGATGGCATAATACCATCTGATATAAATATAATATCAATGAATAATACCATCTGATTCAATGCTTGATTTTTCATATTTCGCACAGTATTAATGGATGAAATGACAAGTTTGGCGTAAAGTGTGAAATAAATGGCCAAGAATCAAGTTAAAGTAAGAATGAGAATCAAAAGTAAAAACAATAATGAATCAAACGGGCATGCAAAATTTTCGAAAAGAGAACTTGAAAGAGAGCAATAACGAGCAGATATATCAAATGTGTAAATCAGTTTCATCATATCAGTTTTAAAACATGATTTAAACAGGAAGAGCAACGAGGGGTTCAAGTATCATCAAGAGTTCATTACACGCACATTTTTGCAGAGTCTCGCTATCAGGCGTGCGAATGGCTGAAGGTGTAGTAGGCTTGCCGGGGGTAGTGTACAGCACACGACTGAGTTGAGGATCCCCCTTACTGGTGCTGCCCTTGGTGGAGCTCTCAGCCCTGAGCGAGGCCACGCGGCCGGGGGTGTAGGGCGTGGCAGCTATCATGGACGAGTCGTTGAGGCGGTCCATCAGGAGGTCTCTGGACGAGGGAGTGCAGCGCGCGATGTGCTGCTCTGTAGCACGGATGGTACAGTTCAAGTTGGATTAGGATGTACATGTTGCTCTGCAGCACCATTGTTTGGGTTGAACATGGATTATAATGTGCATATTGCTCTGAAGTTCAAATTTTTCTTGCATTATGAAATACAATCACAAAATAGAAGTCACAATTAGTTAGAAAATAGTTTTTTTAGATTCCCTCATGAATGCAGCAAATTTGCAAATGAATAATTATGTTCAATTTTTGTGAAAACCTGACAATGAGAAAACCAATCTAAGTCTCAAATGAGTAATTAGCGTAAATAAATATCATTTAGGTTTTGAGTTGAAGTTTCGAGTGATAGACTTTACAAATAAAGTGCAAGGGAAAGAGTTCCAATAAGAACTATCCATCAGACTACTCATTAATATCGTAGATGAAAACAATATAATTTCTCCCATAATCAGCACAGTGTTGGGCATCAAAAGTGTATCGAGGGCTAGCAGCATAGGACTTGTCTTCAACTGACATGGCTTAAGAAAATAGTTTCTGCTGTCCCTTAGGGGTACACAATAACTTTTGAGATCCAGCAATAACACAAATGTTTCAGTAAGTTAATTATAAGATAAACCAATAGTAGTTAAGCACGCACTCAAATATCCCTGCAGGAGCTGCAGGGCAGGGAGCGCGTGATGCTCTTCTTCCCTGGCCACGTGAGGCTCTTCAGGCACCTTGCGTCCAGCTTGGGCGCACGCTAGCAGCCAGTCGCGCGTCACGGCAGGGATGCCCCACCTGAACAATAATGGTAATTTTCACTCGCAGATTCAGAAATAAAACCGGTCAAATTACATACATTATCTCAACCCAAAATAAGAAAACACAAATCTTTTGTTCTCCTGTGTCATCACCAAGAAGAAAACCATACTTCATTACAGGAAAAATCATTTCTTTGCAATTTACACCATTAAGAACAAAACCTTACTTCAATAAAGAAGAAATCATGTTTTTGCAGCTATAACTACGACGAAGAATGCCTTTTATCAATGTAAGAGTATATTATCATTTAGTTGCAGTCTCAACCAAAAAGGAAATCTTTCATCATTATAGAAGAAATAATTTCTTTCCAGTTCAACTCTGTATTCTCGCGCAAACCTGACAGAGGCCTGATGCTTGTCACCACCACCGGAGGAGCAGATGAGGTGGGTGCAGCGTTTCACTCCTTTGGCGTTGTTGTCTTTTCGGGAGAACATCTCTTGGACACTGAAATGGGTAATGGGTTAATAGTCTCATTGACAAAATATTACATTAAAGCACGTTTCTTTTAAAGCACTATCTTAGAATACAAGATGCAAGGAGAATTCTTTGATCACATTGTCTCATCGAAATGCAAGCCATTGCAGTGAGTTGAATAGCAGCAAGTGATGTAATAAACCTCAGTCAAAGACAGAAGCTGCTCAGACCCATGTCAGAGTCTTTGGCTGGAACATAATCATCAATATATGCGTCCACCTTCATCATACATACGGAACGGCTTCATTCAACAGCAGTAATTTATTCAGATTACTCTTATTGTAGTATGCATTAAATTACCCCTTTCAGAGACTCAAATCTTCGTATTTTACTTGATTGCAATCTAAAATATCTGCATCAAGTCAATTCGAAACGAATGGAATAAGAGGTCCTTTTTATCCCTTAATTTCTTTATTTTATCCCTTGATTTCTTTATTTTATCCCTTGATTTCTTTATTTTATCCCTTGATTTCTTATTTTATCCTTCAATTTCTTATATTATCCCGTAATTTCTCAATTGAAGAGTCATCAGTCGTGGATACAAGAAGCTGTACTAACTGAGCGCCAAGCCGCTGAGCTAAGTGCGAGATAAACTGTCGCTCGCGCCCAGTGTAGACGGACACGGTGAGCACAACGTCGTCCAGGGGGCGTGCAGCCTCCACTTCAGGGGGCAGCACCAGAGGCAGGTGCTGGTATTGCAGCTCAACAACTTGCTGTGAGAACCAAGTACAAACTTCAATTGTATGCAAAAGTAATATTTGTGTGTAGATAATAGTGTAAAAAATTTTTATGAATGTCGCATTAAAAATATTTGTGTATGCCCATAAAAGTGTACAAATTTTAATTAATGTTGTTTTGAAAATTTAAATAACATTCAAAAAGTAGCATCAATAAAATAAGTTATCATTTTTTATTGTAGAACGTAATAAGAAGGCAGCACAAGATTTCACAAATCTTGAATTTAACTTTATTAGCCTGTAATTCTTGGTTGGAATTGGGTGCTTGCCGAAATCAGGTCAAGGCCTTTAGATCATTCATCCACGCAGCATACAAATCTTTTACAAACTAAAAAAACGAAATAAAACTTCACAACGCACTCGGCAGCAAAAAAATTCAATTAACAAGTGTTCACTATAATTTTAATAGACTAGAACATTCAATTATGTCACAATTCTAAAAACTGAAACAATGTAGCAAATGTACCAGCACAGGCCATTTACTGCTTTCTTCCCAAATTTAATGGCTATAAATATCGGCACTGTGACATGTTTTTATAATATGATTTGTACAGCATAGTATAGTTTAGTATTTTATATTAGAGTACTAGGGTTCGTAGTATATTATAGAATATTCTACACACAACGCACCCCCTCAGTTGAGCAGTCCTCGACGAAGACGTGCGTGACGTGATGCATAGCGTGGGCGAGGAACACGCCCTCGCCAGTCACGTTGACGATGTTGTAGTCAATGTGGGCTGAGGAGGCTACAGGTGCAACGACTCGCCCGCCCATCGCCTCCACGGAGTCTTTGAGCTCTTGCAGTACTTCTTCTTCGTAGCCCGACACCGCGAACGTCAGACCTGATGATAACGATAGCAATAACTTCACGTGATAAGGCAAGTTACACAGAAAAATTCAATAATATAAATCAAAGTAGATCAGGGGTTAGCAGCAGAATAAGAGTGAATATATTCATCAGTGCATCAGGCTAATGCCAGTTACAACTATTAGGCTTACGGTAATTGCAATCAACATATTCTCACGATCTGGTTGTTACATTCTTTTTCTGCAACATTCCGACTGCCGCCAACACGACATATGCTGATCGTAATGCGTACCAACAAAAATAGGAGGCAAAGATACTTCTGAACCCGCCATGGAAGAGGCACAGGATTGCCGCAACTCAGGGCGTGCTCGCGATGTTCCTGAATATGCAAATTACGGAATGTAAAAAAAAAACGAATGTAAAAAAAGTTAAAAATTTTTTAACCAAAATAACATTCAATATGATTGAAATTTGTCCTGAACACCCAGATTTGTAACGCTTGATGAATAAAAAACTTCCTAGAAACTAAACTACGTTGCTCGTTTACCATTACATGAACAAACCTGATAAAGAAGGAGCCTTCTTTGCACCAGGAAGTTCGTCACTGCCGTCGCCAGGTAAAGGTCTCTTCCGATTGACATTGGAACTATTAAAATCATTTTCCCTGTTGTTCAGGTCAAGCGTGGTGTCATTAAAGGCTGTGAATTTTGGAGGCATCTTCGGTATAAAATTCTCATTGAAGTCGAAGCAGACAAATGGCGTCTCTTCCACAGGTCTGCCGCTTTTAGCACTTTCAACAAGCCAAGCAGCTGATACCAGATAAGGTTTCTCGCTCCATGCCTTGACTTTAAAAAGTGTGTCGCCCTGGAAGCTGCCCATGATGATGTGTGTAACGGTCTCGGTGAGTTGATTGAAACGCGTAGCTCCTCCTGCATTCAAAAGCTTGCGGAGCTTCTCTGCTCTCCCGCCTTGAGCTGCAGTGGCTTCAGCCCAGCCTGACAGATACACCTGCGAAGAGAAAAATGCAATAATGCGGCCAGCTCACGTACTTCAAACTAGAAAACAAAGGAAGCAAATTACTTTCCATCAACTATTTCCTTAACGAAATTACAACTTTTCCAACTCTTGAAATAAGAACTAATTTCGTTAGTATATTAAATTTGAGTTCCTAAGTAGTTGATTATATATAACTATTCTAGCCCACACCTTGCAGCCGTCAAGAAATAGCTCGCTGTTGCATGTGTCTGCTGTAGAGAGCCCGTCTAAGGCACTGATGCCAGCCATGACTGAAAAATAGTTATACTTAAATTTGTGCCATTGATGATGTTAATTCTGACCTACGATGGAGGCAACGACTGACAAGTAGCATTTGCTGAACCTCTCAGCCTGATTGTAGCTGGCATATGGAAAAATTTGAATTTTTCAATCATCAAGTAAAACATAAGTAAGGCTCATACTTCTTGAATTACACATTTTTTAGTACAAAACTTTAATTTGTAAATTTAAGGCCAAAATCGTAATGCTAAGAGCTTTGGAATGATAATTTCAGGTGGTGATAAATGAGCCCAAACATATGAGAAGCCATGAAATAAGTCAAGATCAAATGGAAACAGGGCTTTCTTTCTGTGGCATAAATACTGGAATATTTTATTTGCACGCCTCAAAATGCTAATGTGATGATAATGTAGATATCTATTTTGTTGACATTATTCCAAATTTTTTGAACAGCATCATACTTTACTAATTAAATTTGACTCAACACAAATCTATCAACCCTGAATAAAGTCAATGTCAATGGTATCTTTTCTAGTTTTCTATTGGGCTTCAGAGGTATGAACATGAAGAATAAGGCTTCAATGTTAACTGCAAGTTTAATTTTGTAAAGAATTCCAATTTAAATTAGAAAATTGAATGGAACCATACAACATAGAATGGAAAAGCTCATTTCTAACTGCGTACTGACTAGTAGCATTAGACATGGAGGAGTGGGAGGCTGCGTTTGTGAGAGTCTCGTTGAAGCTCACTGTGGGGTCGAGCGCAGGAGCTCCTATCAATGTGCTGTTGGCAATGGTGCTGCATAGCGACACGTCCGGTGGCAACACTGCAAACCAGAAAATGAATGCACATTATATGGCAACACTGCAAACCAGAAAATGAATGCACATTATATGGCAACACTCAACCAGAAAATGAATATGTATCGTATGGTGTGTGTCAATCTCGACCAGGCAATAAATGTGCATTAAATGGCTACACAGTAGAGCAGACAGTATATGTGGATTAATGGCAACGCTGTAAACCAGGCAATGAATGTGCAATAAATGACTGAATCTAAACCACACAATGAATGCACATTGCATTGAATGGCAACACAGTAAACTAGACAACAAATGTGGGTAAAACAGTAACACTCACAGCGATGATAATGAGAAAATTATTCTAGCATTGCACTTCACTTCTGATGTGGGTAATGATGAATGAGACTGATGAAACATAGAAATCAATATAGTTCATAGTAATAGGCACTCTCTGTTGGGCCCAGCCAGAAATAGTTTTGAGGGAGAGGCTTTTACAATAGTTATTTTACACCAAAATTAAATTCCACATCATGCACATACGTATCACCATACACATACTGAAAACAAAGCTCACTTTTGGTTTCCTTTGTAGGAGTGGAGGCGTCGCGTTTTATTTTGTACAGGGTGACGTCAAGCGCGTAGTTTGCTTGCACGCAGTCATAAATGTAGTCAGGAGTCACCACTGGCACTTTCCAGCGCACGGCACTGACGTATTTATCGCTGTTGGTGGTTGTTGTCACCAGCAGAGTGGACTTGCCCATCTCTAGTTGTGGCGAATATTGTCCTCCTGAGACACAACAAAATGCATCCAATTTAATGCAAATAATTAACGTAAATGATATTGTTTTAGTCAATAACAAGTTTGACTCACTCATCTATATATAAAGGATTATTTTTTAGTATTGAATCTCAGCCCTTGAGAAACTAGGGGCTGTCAGCTACACTTCATCAGGAGAAAAACAAGACAAATACAATAAAATAATATAGGGTAATTCAAGCAAAATATAATTACCATTTTCTTCAACCAGATTCTTAATAGCAATTTTGTCCTTCTTGGGCAGCTGAGACACACAAATGCAATGGGTCATGAAGACCGGGCACACATGGCTCAGGAACTTGTGGTCAGTGGCTATGATGCCTTCGTCTGAGGAAGACGTGCCGCCCATCACGTCCCATACAGCCATCACCCAACTTGGTTTCATTACAGGCAGCTCTCGCTCTTGTGCAACCTGAGCAATTAATGCAATACATGTCAAAGTTTTGTAAAGTTCAGAATTACAGAAACATTAACACTCTCGATAATAGTTATTACCTCAGCTAGTACTACATGCGTGAATGATACCTCTACTATATACCTAATAATTCATAAGAAAAATAATGCATAGCAATATTCAGAAGCAATGCATGCTCACAGACCTCATCTCAGCCTAGAGGCCTTTCAAGATAACAGTAAACAGAGTAAGACTTGCCCTGTATTTTGGTGACTGTACAGTGTCAGCTACAAGATGTGTCACACTGGCACTGAAATCATTGACATAATGACCAGCCATGTACTGGATGAGGTTTTTTATTTTATCACGCAGCATCTTGTTGAGTCCAGTGCAAGTGACAACAATATTGTGCATTGCCATGTTGTGCATGGGCTGCAGGTACTCAGGGATTGCCAGCTTGTGCATAAAGCAGTAAGTCAGGCACCGAGGACCAATCACTCTGCTGAGGACATCAGAACAATTTTTAACTTGAAATGAAGTGGATTAAAAAATCTAAATAAATTCATTCACTCAAATAATTCATGCTCATCTGAATATTCTGAAAAATTTATAAACTTATATGTATAGCGCATACATAATAGTATTGTATCAGCATTTGAATAAACTACATTTTAATGTTCTGCAACAGGTTATGAATGACTGAGTATGAGGTACAAATTAAAAAGAAAAGTTTTTTCTATTATATTAATCAATTACAACTGTCGAATAAGAAAAATTTTTGGAGCAACTTCCAAGCAGTTTTTAGAAACCCAATAATGAAATATATATAGTCTAAATGTTCAATGAAGTTATGCATTACTCACACACACTTGGAGTTGCAGAGCATTGCTGCATGGTTGAAGGCTTTGCCTTCAAATGGGTCCAAGACAAAAATGTCTCTCTTGCCTGCATTGCTGACAGAGAGAAATTCTGACTCTGAGATCCACTCAGGCCCACATTCCTGTTCCTCACACAGCTGAAAAGTACACATAAGACGTATTGATTTGAAAAACAACCATTACACAAAGAAGGCATAGGAAAAAGTTTCAAAGTCCAGGGATTCTTATGATATGCAAATGGTTGAAAAGGCCACCTCCTATCCTTCAGCTTCTCAAGTTATCAAATTAAAATCATGTTCACATGTTGTGAATATAATGCCTTGATAATAAATATTCAGTCTAGTTCAGAAATTTTTAATATTCCAGTCATCCATATTACAGATATATAAATCTCAATGTATCAAAATTCCCTTACATTTTTAATAAATTAATCCCACCAAATGGAGCAACTTGAGACATATTTTTTTTACCTAAACCAAACACATTTTCAATGATGGTAAATGCATGCAAACCAAGGCAAGCAATTTCTGTGTGCAGCATAAAATGTTGGTCATTCTTGCAATAAATACCTACAAGAAAATACAAAACAAATATACTAACACAATTCTATTTTTATGTCCTAAAATAACCCTATTAACAGTAAGATTGTCATTGGATTCATCTTCATGATCATCACTCAACTGAAAAAAGTCATTCAGAATAATTATTTATTAGTCGGAATTAATTACTTAACTACCAGAGAAATATGGCTTAAAATGATGCATGGTTAACTTATTACTTTCATTTCACTAAAACTGCATCCCCAATTCTCCAGAAGGAAAACATTAGACAGAAGAATTACTTTCAGATGTTCTAGTAGGTGAATTTATCTATGGTTTTGCACCATTGACGGTAAAATTCAGATACACAATAGCAATAACCTGATTTAAAGATACATTCCTTGATATTTCTGTCCAACACTTACCTGGAAGGCAGCCAGCAGTATACTTGGACAAGTCTCAGGTGAGTGGCCATCAGTGAGAATGAATCTAAGATTCACTGACTCACACTGGGACAGTAACGTCTGCTGAAAGGTGCTCCCTTCATCTAATTCACTAATTTCTGTATGACTTTCCATTGAAGATCATAAATGACATTCAATGATTTTTATATAAAAGGGCAAGTGGCAATTTGTTCTGTAAGGAAACATAATAATGAACATTGAACACAAGTTCCCACACCATGCAAATACTGCTTTTCAGTATTGCAGATTGGCAATGAACAAGTATAGGTATACCTACTACAAAAGAGTTTATTCACACCTGTGGCTATTGAGGCTGTGGTTATGGTTAAGCTGATGAATTTCAAGCTCATCTGTTGCAATGATCAACTGATGAGCAGGCCATGGCCAGTTATACTTGAAAGTTATGATGCAGCTCAAGGAAAAAGGTTGACTAAATTTATAAATTTTTATTCTGATTCATGGTCCAATAAATTTTGATGATGATTTTTAATTGCTTTCAGCTTAATACAAACAATATTATGCATAGAAATAAATTGTTAACTTCTGCCCTATTTTACAAAAGTTAATCACAATAAATGTTGCCAGTAACATTTTAACTTGAAAACCGAAGCTGTAATAACTTATTGAAACTGTAAGATTAAATATTATACCATCAACTGGGGCTACTTGGGACAATTTCAAACGTTTTTCATTCATAACTTCTTACCATGAAACATTTCATAAACAAGTTTAGGCTCATTTCAAAGCTCTTTGCAAGGGCTATTGCAGGGCTTCTCCAAAAAAATTCCATATGCTATTTGTAAGGTGCTAGAAGCAAAAAAAAGTGTCCTGAGTAGCCCCCTTGAATGGGGCTACTTGGGACACTTGCAATAAAACTTAATTTTAAAACATTTGAAGCATGCAGAGTGTACTCATCCATTACTAACAGTACTCTGAAGTCCTCCTCTTTCATTGTAGATGATGTAGAGGAAGAATAAATGAGATTTTATGTGATTTTTACTTGTTTTTCCTTTATTGATATGATACATTACATTAAATGATATGATACATATACATTAATTAGGTACCATATTATTGATGCAATATTACCATATCCATGAACAGGCCATTGAGCATTTCAACTACCTTGTCCACTGCAAGCTTCATATCATCAGCTTTTTAGCATTTTTTCTGCATCTGTAAGCTTACAGGACGGCTTGTAATTTCACACAATTTTAATTGGGTTAAGTGAATTTACTATAAAAAAAAGATTGTGAAAAACATACCTGAAACAGAAAGGAATGTTTTAGTGACAACTCTATAAGTGAATTTTTTTCACTGAGCGAGGTAAATGTAATCAATATTCTTCGTTGTTAGTCAATTTTTTTCTTAACTGGAGCATTTGCTGAGGTTCTACTGTAAATGTGTTTTTGGGGATGTCCCAAATAGCTCTGGGGGGGGGGTGTCCCAAGTAGCCCTGCCGTGCAGAAATGGCCACCATTTTTTTGGGATTGAGGTATGTAAATTCTGCAAATCAAGTTTTCATGCTGACACTTGTCTGCAACTTTTTTCGAAGCAAAAATTTTTAATACGGCAAATATTTTTTTTACTACAGAGTACAGACCTTAGCAGAAGTAACTTTTCAAAATATCATTTTTCACAATTTTTTTCAGGAATTTTTCAAAGCTGGTAAATGTAGTATTTTTTAACTTCCTTTATAATACATAGATAGGAAAAATGTTGACGTTTACGCCACTATATTTTGTTTTGCAATATTCCAATTAGTTTGGCTACTAAAACAGTTTTACGCCATGTCGGAGGACTGTCCCAAGTTACCCCGCCTGTCCCGAGTAGCCCCGGTTGATGGTAATTAATGTATATGGTAATATCACATCAATAATATGGTAATGAATGTATATGGTAATAACAAATCAATACAGGAAAAACAAGTAAAACTCACAGAAAATGTCATTTATTCTACCTCTACATCATCTACAATGAAAGAGGAGGACTTCAGAGTAATTTTAGTAATGGATGAGTACACTCTGCATGCTTCAAATGTTTTAAAATTAAGTTTTATTCCAAGTGTCCCAAGTAGCCCTGTTCAACGGGGCTACTTGGGACACTTTTTTTGCTTCTGGCACCTTACGAATAGCTTATGGACATTTTTTGGAGAAGCCATGTGATAGCCCTTGCAAAGAGCTTTAAAATGAGCCTAAACTTGTTTATGAAATATTTCATGGTAAAAAGTTATGAATGAAAAACGTTCAAAATTGTCCCGAGTAGCCCCGGTTGACGGTAATGTATGGATAGGGTAATATTATATCAATGAAGAAAAACCAAGTAAAAATCACAGAAAATTTTATTTATTCTACATTTACATCATCTAGAAAGGAAGAGGAAGACTTCAGATTTCAGAGTACTGTTAGTCTGTTAGTAATAGATGAGTACACTCTGCATGCTTCAAATGTTCAAAATTGAATTTTATTTCAGGTGTCCCTTTTTACCCCATTTCCAGATTAGGAATTCAGGAGCCTTTTATATTGCATCTAGCACCTTACAAATGGGCCAATGGCATATGGAATTTTTTTGGGAGATGCCATAAGATAGCCCTTGCAAAGAAAGACCTTTAAAATGAGCCCAAATTTGTTTATGAAATGTTTCATGGTAAGAAGTTGTTAACAAAAAATGCTCAAAACCGTCCCTTTTTACCCCATTTGACGGACAATGACGGTACCACTTTGGACTTTAGAGTCAACGTGTTAAAGTCACTTAAAGCGTCGCAACCTTCATTCTTGATTCTTTCAAGTGCAACTTTTAACCTTCCTATTTTACAACACTTCTCCAGACTCCAGTTCTCTTTACCTGCTTCATTTCTTGTTGTTTGTTTGACCGTCTCACTCACACTCTAGTGTCTGTCTGTACCGTAAAATGGGGTTACTTTGACCGGCGGGGTAACTTTGACCACTTTTTGTTTTTTTAACAAAAAACCCCAAAACTCGAAAACGATTTGACATAGAAAAATTTTGTCAATGGCCATCAAAGGCCTAATACTGAGGCTACGTAACACAATAGTGAATAGAAAGATTTAAAAAATTTGCATATCTAATAGGTTAAAAAGTTAATAATGTGACCCACGAAAAAGAGCTATTATTTAAAGCCTGTCAGAGTACCCTCTCCAATTTTTTTATTTTTTTGGTAAAATAACTCCAGGTTTTGATGCATTGTAGTAGAACTCTTCTAGTTACATATGCAAAAGACAAAATTTTAGGAAAATGTCATAGTTTGCAAATGGGGGGCGCCATGGTGAAATTCCAGCATTTGTATGGTAACATTGTTCATCGCAATAGCTCCCCCGTTCTTTTTTTGTCGACGGGGGGTAGGTTCAAGAGGTCTCCACAGAGAAGGAGGTGCAACCAGGGAATTGGCGGTTGCGCTATTCTCTCCACTGAAGGTATGACTAAGAACAAAAACCTGATAGAGATAACAGGAATAAGTTCTTACCAACCTATAACAGCGAGAATACCTATTCCAAACCTAATTTCCTACATATACGAGGCGTGCTTTAAAATAAGTTCCACAGGCTGCCGCTGGCGCTAGAATCATTTCTATGTGCGGCTAGGTCATGAGGCAGGCTGTTTGATTCCCTGACTCTAATCCCTTACCAGCAAGCCTCCCTGCGCCGCTTGATCATGCCGCAGAGGGCGTCAGTGGTTGTGCTTTCTCTTGCGTCTCCCACCAACTGCGAGTTGCGGTCTGTTACACGTTTCTTGGCAGCTGAGAAAAAATAAATGAAAGAAATTCACGAAAAATTTTGTCAAGTGTATGGAGAAGAGTGTATGAGCTCCGGGATAGTGCGTAGATGAGTCAGGGACTTTGAAAATGGCCAAACTGACGCCGTGCATGGACGCCCGCTGCCGCCACGACGACGCCCGCTGCTGCTGGTGGTCTGCTGTGAGCTTTTTTGTACCCATCTTGCATAGACCTTTGAATCAACTAAATTTTCAGGCAAAATCTTGTCAATTGTTTTTTTCCAAACTCAAAAATTTTTCACACAGCTCTTAAACTGTAATCATTCTATCTTCAAGCATTACCGCTTCAAACTTGGCAATTGTTACGTCAGAAACCGATGGCCGCCCAGCACGGCCGTCAGTTCGGCCGTCGTTGAGGACGTCAGTTCGGCCATTTTCAAAGTCCCTGACTCATTTACGCACCATCCTGGAGCTCATACACTATTCTCCATACACTTGACAAAAGTTCTTCGTGAATTTAATTCACTGATTTCTTCTCAGCTGCCAAGAAACGAGTAACAGACCGCAACTCGCAGCTGGCAGGAGATGCAAGAGGAAGCACAACCACTGACGCACTCTGGGGCAAGATCAAGCGTCGCAGGGAGGCTGGCAGGTAAGGGATTAGAGTTGGGGAATCAAACAGCCTGCCTCTATGGGCTAGCCACGCATAGAAATGATTCTAGTGCCAGCGGCAGCCGGTGGAATCGATTTTAAAAAACACGTCTCGTACAGGCAACAAATAATGTTTAGTTTAGGGACATGCAGATATATAATTTTGCTAGCCTCAGCAAAAAAAAAAAGAAATTTTTGATTCGTTTCAACATTCTACAGCTCTCACTACGTGTCCTGTAAGAACATAAAACCTATGACAGTCATAAATCAGCATTAAGCTGACAGAGTAGGCCTGCCATTTGAGATCCCGCCTTGGTGAGATGCGTTTGGAGTACTCCCACACAAGCTCCCCTCCTCCAGATGGTCAACTGCTTACAGCACACCTGCAAATTCAAAAGTCTGTCAATTCACGCTACATAACACTGCTACTTTCCAATGCCAAATAAACCTATCAAAACACATGGAAAATAAAATACTTAAAAAAACTTTAAAAAACACGTTTTTCGTGTGGACTAAAAAGTAGAAAATAAATTATGGTTCGCCCCAAAAAAACGTGTGTCGGGCAGTTTTATGATTAAAGCGAAAAGCACACAACACTTAAATTTTGAAAATTTGATGGTGAACGTACAGCCCGACCCACGTTTTTTTGGGGCGAACCATAATTTATTTTCTACTTTTTAGTCCACACGAAAAACGTGTTTTTTAAAGTTTTTTTAAGTATTTTATTTTCTACTTTTTAGTACACAAGAAAAACGATTAAGACTTGATTAAGTATGACCTGACGTACGTA